AGGGGGTTTGAGGTAACTTTTTCCCACCATAGAGGAGGGGATAGGGGGAACCTGTTTGGGGGCCCATAGAATTGGACCCCCTGGTCCAATGTTCTTCAAACTTGGTTGGTATCTTGGGGAGAGGCTCCAGCAGCTACCCTGTGAGTTTGGAGCCTCTCCCTCAAACCCCCTCCCCTCCAGCCCCCAGAATATACCCTATGTTTTCGCCGTTGACATCAATGGCCCATAGGATATAATGCGGCTGAAACTGACATTCGGCTGGCCTAAAGACTCCTGAATCAGCTGTACTGCCGAAATTGACATGCAGGAGTCCTTATGCCTGCCGAAATTGATTCTGCCCAATTCGGCAGAATCCAATCAAGCCTAATTTTTTTTTTTTTTTGCACACCCCTATACTCAACTAGACACAGTAAGGACTGGAAGAGGGCTACTAAACTGAAGCTCAATCCAGATAAGACTGAAGTACTTCAGGTCTGGTGGAACCAGGGTATAGGCTACTGAGGATGGGGTTAGACTCCCCCTGAAGGTACAATTTCAGGGCTGGATCTACAGTTGAATTCTCAGATTTCTGAAGAAGTGTGTATGCACATGAATGCTTATACCCTTAAAGGTGCCACTGGATTCAGAGTTTGTTCTGCAGATTTCACTAGCACTAAAAGCCAAGACTTTTAAACAAATTCAGTGACTGGGGTTCTTCTGGTGCCCCTGATCTGTTGTCTTTCCTGCCACTTTATGATTACTGTTTATTCTAAGAGCCTTGTTGTTTGTATTCACTTCTGCTGATTTGTGTGGTCTCTATACAGTTTTACACTTAATTGATTCTGAACTGGTTTTATAATTTTCATTTAAAAATTATTCTGTGAATCTCCTCAGGCACGTGTTCTGGAGAGATGGTATGCAGATACTTTAAACAATAGTAACTGAATAAAAATGGGAAAGAAAAAGGTGCAGTCATACGCCAACAACTTCAACAAGTGACAAAATAAGCTATCAAATCTGGCAACAGTTCAGCACAAGAAGTCACAGAACCAAATACTTTAAAAGGACAGTTCTTCCCCAGGCCCGAGAGCCAAAAAGGCTGCATTTCATTCTTGTCTTTTGAAAGTTCCACAAGGGAGGGGGGGAAACAGTTGGGGTGGGTGGTGGTGGGGAGAATAATCCTTCTCCGATTTACAGGCAGTAACTGCCTAAAAGAATCAGTCAGAAAAGAGGGAAGGTCACAGGCCACCTTTGCAGCTAGGCTAGGCTGAACAGACTAAAGTGCCATAGTTTGGGTTCCCTGCTAAACAGACTCAGCCCTTCTGGAAAAAAAGGTTTTAACTTCATTGATCCAGAGGCACAGCTAGGCACACTGCCAACGCTGCCTATAAAGGAAGAAGAAAGTCCCTAAAAGGAAAAAGAAAACCAACTCCGTCAAGGTGCCCCAGCAGCTTCAGACAAGCTTCACATTTGGCTAACTCTGCACCTCCAAGAAAGCAGTGAGAATGTACATCAGATGTAAGACAACATAAAGCTTTAAAACAACAACAACAACAACAAAGAATAACAACAAAGCCCAGGCTTTAAAAACTAGAAGTCCATGACATATTCCACTTAAGTGTCCTCTTCAAAAGGCATTTTCATTTCAACCAATCACACAAAACCGGTCTTTTCATCATGTCGAACTCTCAGCAACAGGAAAGGATGTGGTCAGGCTAAGCTTAACTGAGGGCAGGGGGGGGGAGGAGAAGATGGCTCAGACACAAACTAAGATTTCCCCAGACTCCACCTTTCCTCCCTCCCTCTCTTCACAACCATTTTGGGGCAATTTCTAGGGAGATCTGTGTCTGTAATGGACAATCACACTGCAACCTATACTTGACTGTTCACCAATAAAGTTGCCAGTTTTAAGCTGCACTATTTCCCTTTTTTCTAATAAGCCAACTGACACCATACATGAAAAAAAAATTAAGTTGTCCTACACAGAATGGTCAACTGTGCTTCCGTTGTACCATAACACAACTCAAGAACTGTTGTATAATGGAACAGCTCAGAAGGACGCTTTTATAAGGAAACACGCAGCCTATTGGCAATGCTTACTGTATGTATCACCATGCTTTTACTGTGTTGGCTTCTACCTTTGTAACCCACTTTCTCCATTATGGCATGCCATGCCTTAGGGCTTAAGGGGTTTTTTTTTAGTTTGCACTGTTTCCCAGTTCTGCACTCCTAGTCCTATTGCACTGCTTATTGGAGATCATGGCTGTTTGAATTGATTTTTATATTTAATCCACCTTGAGTCTCAGTGAGAAAAGAAGGCTATAAAGTGAACTATTTCTTCCCCCTTGCTCCCTTTTCATTGTAACTTACACTTGCAACATTATCTTGTTCAGGAAGACTCCATCTACTAGATCCATGTACATTGCGAGTTTCTCCCCGTTTTCATTTCCTAATGGTCCAAACGTCTTCACCTGCCAGAAAGAAAATTTATTTTAGACAGACACACTCATCAAAAATGCCACAAGCGCAAAACTGGATGAAAATCTGGAAGGTGGCCACTGACTTTCACAGAAGAAATATCCATCATTTCTAACATCATAGCAGTGAGTCAAGTCTCAGATTCTTCCAAACTACATAGTTTCTGCTTGCAAACTGGTCAATGCACATTGTTTGAAAAGGGCTTACAGCACTACAAAATGGCCACATTTCCTTTCATTGACAAAAACATTTTAAATGTACCCCACTGTCAAAATAAAATACTCTCAAAACTGTTATATTTGTCCAACAGAACACACACATCCAACAATAACAGAAAACCAAAAACCTAAGCAGTATAATGGACCAAGAATGAAAGTAGCTAAACCTTCTAAACTTAGAAGTAGCTAAACAGTACATAAAAATATAAAACCTAAAAGCTCACAGAACACTTAAAATATGAAAAAGCAGACTATTTAAAGGCACGGGGAGACAATTTATCCAAAAGTAAAAATGTTCTTGCTTGGCACCTGAAAAACAACACACTTGACACCAGACAAACTCTGAGGGGAAAGAATTCCTGAATCTTAGTGCCACAACAGAAAAGGCCCTGCCCCTGTGGTTCACCACATCATTGATTCATTCAAATATTAGGGCACCATGATGCTGCTTTCTTTCCAAAGAGACCCAAAGTGGCTTTTGAAATTTTTCACAATTCAAGTATAAGTACAAATAATACAATTTTAACAAAGCAAACACATGCAGGCTTAAATACTCGTGAAGCAGAGGAGAAAAAACTCAGCTCAAATGGTATTCAGCCACTGTTAGGAAGCAAGTAAAACCCCTCCCACTTCCTCCTTTGCTAGAAATGACTCCGGGAATACTTAGACTTTAGTACCTGTACATGCAGGTAGCATAAACCTCTGCCTGCTTGCAAGGCTTCCTTGCTACTATAGGTTGGTCTATACAGAGTGTCTGGTGTAGGGGGGAAAAGCACTTCAGCAGAAAAGGATGGACGGGTTGCCTCTTGAGTGCAATCTAAGCTGCACTGGACATTTTTCAGTCCCACTGATTTCAACAGGGCCATTAAACACATGAAATGATGCCAGGCTTCAAGGGAACAACAGCACAAACTATTCACTGTCTCTTTACAACACTGCATACACCCACTGTGTCAAAAACAAGCTTTAAAAGAAATCTTAAGACCTGGTCAGTCACAATGTAGACCTGGTCAGTCACAATCAAAGCACCACCACCCCAACTTCTGGATACAAACAGGTCTACTTGCCCTTCAGGCAACCACCAGTACAATCTCATCAGAATATTAGGCTTAGCCTTCGCTTAAGAAGTTCCACTGCCAAATGATATACCTGAGGAGCGAGAGAACACAATGAATTTCCTATCTCACCAGCACACATGTGCAAACTAGCATGCCCGCCGCAGGACGACTGCACACGTGCAGCAATCCCATCCACATCACCACACGTGCACACAGACTACACATAGGAGCCGCAACGCTTCAGCCAGGCTTCCAAATATATTCAGGGTTGCATACTTCCTCTTACAAAGCGTTACCTAGATCTGAAACACCCTAACCAAGCTCAAGCGCTTGCTTTTTGCTTTTTAAAGAATCTGTTTCCTGTGTGCTTGGGTGTCTTAAAGTCAGAAGAGCCGACTGATGCACGAGGCACCGTCTTTAAATCCGTAAGGCAGCCCTTACTGCAGCAGGCGGGCGAGCCTGGTAGTCATGGATGCTCCACACAGAGCACAATCGAAGCGCCGTTTCCCACAAACGGCACACGGTCTTGTTCGGTTCTGTCTACACTTGGCGCTGGCGACCCCGGCGGCGCAGTCAGACTTCCTCCAAAGGTAACGTCGACGAGACGACTCTTCGGAAAGAAAAGTCCTTCCTCCGAAATTACCCCCTCTCTGAACGCCAAACACCCCATTACGCTCCATTAACTAAAGCTCATTCGGAAGCCAGTGTCAGCCAGGTGCGCGGGACACTTTCGACGCGCCGAGCCCCGGGATTTCCGACCAACTCCCTCTCCCACCCCAAACAAACATTTTCCTGGGTGGGGTGGCCACCCAGGTACCCCTCACAACAAAGGGAGGAAGAAAGAGAGGGGGGCAGCGGGCCGCCTCGCTTACACACACACACACACCGACTGCTTCTCTGCAAGCAGTCTCGACCACGCGCGGCGGAGTCGCAAACTCACCCAGGTCACCAAGGGGCTCTGCAGAAAGAGCTCCAAGAGTTCGGAAATGGTTACATCCATGGCTTCCCCGAGAAGGGCCCGTGTTTGTCTTGGCTCCCAAAGGGGGACTCGCGAGAGGGCTCGCCGGCTCAGGCGGGGAACAAAGGCGCGGAGCCCATGGCCCCGGAGGAGTCGCCTAGGACGGGAACAATGCGAGGCTCATCTCCTCTCCCTCCCCTCCCCTCCCCCTAGGCCGGGCTGGGAAGGGACACGGGTCGCGCCCGCCCGCCTGCCTCTCTCTCCCGCCCGCCGCGCCTCGACTGGCAACGCGAGCAGCGCAGGCCCCTCCTCGAGGTTCACGCGGCTCGCCAGCAACCTGCTGCTGGGCAAGGCGGCGCGCGGATGGAGCCGCTGCCGGCGCCACTCTCTGTTGGCAGCCGAGGCCGCCTCCCCCCGACGGCCGCTGCACCAACGGGAGGAAAAAGTTTTCTGTCGTTTGGAAAGGCAGAACAGGCGGCCTGAAGGGAGCTCCGCTGGGGGCGCTCCAGGCCTTTCAGAAGAACCGACCGACAGGCCCCACGAGGCTGTTGCTTCCTCAGCGGGGTGGTTATTACCTGTGGCAAAAATGCGCCCTGTTTTTACGCGCCAGACGAAAGAAACCCAAGTAGCACGAGCATCGCGAGGGTTGGGGTCAGTGCCGGATTTACGCATAAGCTAAATAAGCTACAGCTTAGGGCCTCGCAGTCTGCTGGGGCCTCAAATAAAAACACAATATAAAAAATGATTTCAAATATTAAAAAGGCGTATATATTTTAAATTTTTCTGAGACCAGCTGATGTAATTTAAAACAGTAGGGGGCCTCTGGGTTTTGTATAGCTTAGGGCCTCAGCAAGTCTAAATCCGGCCCTGGTTGGGAGGTTGTTTTTAAGCCCCCCCCCCAATTGAACGAGGGGGTTGGTGATGGCAAATGGAGAGAGGGGGTTGATCGAAACTGGCCAATAGAAGTTGCCTCTGAGTTTAGCTGGGAAGGTGTTAACTGTTGGAAGCTCCTGCTTCCTCAGGGGTGCCATGAAATCGGTGGGCCTCGTTACCCCGGGAAGATTAGTCGCGAGGGGCCTCTGAACGTGCCTGGGGTGTGGCCTGCTAGTGGCTCTAACCACTGGGCTGCCTCCTCCCATAGAGCCCCAGTTCCGGGAAGGAGAGGGCTCACTCCCCAGCGGCTGATGTCAGGGACGGAGGAGAGGCTTATGGCTGGCAGGGTGCTTAATTTGGCAGCTTGGTGGGAAACTGCGGGCTCTCGCCTTCAGCAGAAAACAATAGTGTCCAATGATGGGCCCCCTGAAGGGGGGGAGGGCGCATGATTCCCCCTCTTTTGAGCCACAGGATGTTTTTCTTCTGTGCTAATAGCCTTTGCTAACATGACTCGAACGTTAGGCTTTCCCATTGTGTTTAAACATGAACTCATGCCAAAAAAACTTCCAAAAGCACAAAGAGGACTGGGCAAACGACCCTTTAGTTACATGCAGGATTTCACTCCAGAGTCCTGGGCATAATGTAGCAAGGAGGCCTGAGGATGAAGAGACCAACACCCCAAGCGGCAACTCCTGTTTGCAGCTTTGGTTTTTTTTAATCTTTGTCCAGTTTTCAAGAGCTTTGTTCTCACTCTGGAGGATGCACTCTTGAGATCAAGATCTTTCTTTTCCCCCAAACAGAAGACAAATGTAAATACTAAAAAGCAATACAGAAATACCTCTGTCATGCCAGTATATAAGACTTCCAGACTGAATTGTACTGTTTTATATTATGTGTTTTATTGTTTTAATCTTGGCACTTTGTGCCCTTGTTAGCCACCCTGAGCCTTCGGGGTAGGGCGGGATACAAATCTAAAGATAAATAAAATAAAAATAAATTCTCCACACAGCAGGCTATCAACATCCACATCCCAACTTTGTTCCTGAGAAGTCAGTATTAGGTGGAGGCAGCCCCAAATCATTACTGAATTAATTAAACCAGTGCTGCAGAATGAAAATCAACTCATTTGAGCTGTGGTGCTGGAGAAGGCTCCTGCGCATTACTTAGACAGCAAAGGCGACAAACAAGCAAGTACTGGAGCGCATAAAACCAGACATGTCATTGGAAGGAAAAATCATAAAACTGTCTGATTTATTTTGGCCATGTCATGTAAAAGAACTCACTAGAAAAATAATTATGCTTGGATTGGTTAGCAGTAAAAGGAAACCAGGCCGCCAAAGAACACGGTGGCTAGACACCATAAAAGTCAACACCAGCCTGAGCATGGAACAACTCAAAGAAACAGTACAAGATCGGAAAACGTGGAGAGAGCTGGCCCATAGAATTGCCAAGGGTGGGACATGACTGAACGGCTAATGAAATGGCCATTTCTATACTTTTCATAAACTATTACTTTTAGAACTCCTGTTATCTTTCTGCCCCTGCTTTTCTCTCTCTGGATTTGCACTGCCTCATAATTTGGAAATATTTCACCGCTTCCACTTTTATGAGCAAACCCAGCAAACTACTTCAAATGGATCTGAAATTGGCTGTTTTGGTTGCTACAGATTTATTAGTAGGCAGTAGATACTGGTTTTGTCATTGCATCGTTGTTTATTAAATTTATATCCCACTCAATCCCAGAGGCTCAGAGTAGTTTGCAGCATGCACACCCCCCAAAAAACAAACACCACACTATCATCCTATAAGTAATTATATGTTTCAGGGGATAAGGGAGGCCAATAAAAATTATATAACTATACCAAGTTGATCCATCCTGGTTAAAACAGGATTTTTATGGTACTGTTAACATCCCTGTAGTTTTTAAGCACCAGCAGATCTTAAATGGAGAAATTGGTTGATCACTACTAAATATATTCTCCTTTCAAGAAGTTAGGCCTGGTCCTGACCTGGATAGCCCAGGCAAAACCCAATCTCATAAGAGCTTGGATGCTAAGCGGAGCCAACCCTGGCAAGTATTTGGGTGGGAGACCTCCAAAGAATACCTTTGGGCTGGGAGGTAGAGACGGGCTATCAAGCCACATCTCTGAATGTTCTCCATGCCCCAGTAGGAGTTGCCAGAGGTCGCTATGACTTCCAGGCATGGGCAGACATGCACACACACAAATGCAAATATATATATGTATGTGTGCGTGTGTTAGGTCTGAATGGGTAGAAGATTTGTTACTGAGACAAAAGAACATTATTTAACAATCGTAAAAGACTAGGTCAACCAAGCAGGAAAGTACTTCCTGTTTTTATAGCGCTAGCTTGGTACACACTTCATCACATAAACACTGCTATAATTCTCTACTTGTCCCCAATGTTCCCTCTAAGCTGAGTTAGTGTGAGCTAGCTCACAATTTTTTAGCCTCCGGCTCACACATTCTTGCCTTAGCACAGGAAGGATGGCTCCAGGGCAAACTAATTTATACAGTAGCCAAATCGCTCACTCACAACTTTAATGCCAATAGCTCACAAAGTAGATTTTTTGCTCACAACACTCCACAACTTAGAGGGAGCATTGCTTGTCTCTATTAATATGTTGAGTGTTTTCTTACTGCCTAAAATGAACTCAGCTCAGTATCTCCCCCTTACATGACTGAAACTCCAAATATGTACTTTGGTTCTAAAAAGCGGTGCACGGGGGGGCACATTTGAAATGGGGCTATGAAGGAGGCCTCTTTCACCTGCACTTCTCTGAATCAGCTGTGATC